TTTGATGGCTTAGGAGAGATTGGCTTCTGAGCGTGTGGTTCTTTCCTCTGAGAGCCTGGAGGAGGCCCTCCTGTGTGAGGTTTCTCTCTGTCTGTCTGTCTGTCTGTCTGTCTGTCTGTCTCTCTCTCTCTGTCTCTCTCTCTCTTCCTCTGTATCCTATTTTTGCTTCCTCCAAGCCTGGCTCCTCCTTTTCATGTCCCCGTGAATCCAGGTCAGTTCAATCACTCCTGCCACCACTGTCTCCATCTGAGCCCCATCTGGAGCAGTTACTAGAATATCCTCCCCTGATTCCTGTATCTAGTGTCTTCCTTGTCCAGAGCATTCTGAACAGTAATGTGCCTAAAGCAACTTTGGCAACGGCCTTCACCGGCTTCCCTTGTCCAGACTCCTTACCTTGGTCCATCTGCCACAGTGTGGCTACCTCTCACCTCACGTTCTTCCCCGCTGATCCACCTCAGCTGTCCACTGGTACTTTCCTGACTGACCACCCTCAGTATCATCTCAGCTTCTCAACCCAGTCCATCTTCTCCTGGTGTGGGTAGGGGGTCACTCCCTCTCCTTCCTGCTTGTCTTAGTCCTGACCTGCCCCAAGTCTCCTTCATGATCACCTCCTCTCCGTGATCCTTCCCTGATTGTCTGTCCTCAGAGACTTCCTCCATGCCAGCAGGTTAATCAGCCTTGTCTTGTCTAGCTCTCTAGCTCAGCTGCAAAGCCCTGAAAGTGGAAGGCTTTGTCCACTTCATCCCTTCATGCCTCCCCTAGCTCCAGAGCACTCGATCCTTGCACGGAGTGGATTTGGGGCTGAAGAGCTGCGGTAAGAGGCCCAAGCCCTGGGGACCACAGTCCTGGATGCCCTCACCTGGATGGCCATGGGCAAGAGTTTCCCATCAGGCTGCAGCTTCAGCATCACCAGGGGAGCTGCCAGGTGCTGCTGGCTACACAGAATAACATTGGCCTTGATCCCATCCAGCAGGGAGAAGTCAGCTTCAAACAGGGTGTGTCCCTGAATGGGGGGTGGGGGGGGGTACAGGCTATCATGGAAATTAGGCATCTTCTTCCCACTCTGATTTCCAGAAGGAATAAAAAGGGACTAACTTGTCTCCATCCCATGTTGTATCAAGCAATTGATCAGGTGCTTATTACCTCACATAGCTTTGTCTGTGCTTGAAGTAGACGTAGTTTTACACAAGAGGAAACAGATGGTCAGAGAGGTTGGGTATTTTGTCTGAGCTTACAAGTAGCAAAGCCAGGATTCAAGGTAAGTATGCCCTGCATCATAACCCCACTTGAATTCTGTTTCAACTGTCCTATGTTGACTCTTGATAACCCCATCCCTAACTTTATTCTCTTCTGCAAGGTCCACACCATCACTGAATCCTTACCACCAAGGTCTAGTTACATTTGTTCATTTTGCCCCTGTCTCTTGTCAGCACACACCCTCCCTCCATGGTAGCGTGGCTGTTCTCCCAAGGGGAGGAAGGGCATGCTGCTGCACTTCCTGCTGTGCAGGATCTGGCCCTAGGCAGCACTGTTGATGTGGACTCCACTCAGTTCATCCTTTCATCTTTCCTGGCCTTGTTTCTTGAATGTCCCTACCTGGAGCTCCTTCTCCAGCTGGGACTTTAGCTCCTCCATCCCTTGGGGAAACACTAAGCGGCTGGGAAGCTGATTGGAACGTCTGATCAGCATGGGGTTGGCACCATTGAAGAACTGGTACCCAAATAAAGCATCCTCCTTCCAGGAATCCTGAACTTGTTCTGGAGATGGAATTTATTGAGCAAGCTAGTGGGTTCTGAGCTCCTGGCTCTTCCAAATCCCCTTGAACCATCCCCATACCCATAGGACCCCAACCCACTTCAAAGGCCCAGGCCTCTGGTCCTCAATCCCAACTATTTAAATTCCTCTGGAATGGATAGGATCTCACGGTAGAGGGTTTGGGGAGAAGTAGAGAGAGGGTACTCACTAGCCAGCTTGCTCTAGTCATCCAGATCCTTCCAGCAAGTCAGAACATTTAAAGAGTCTTTAACAGCTAGTTCTGCCAGCCTTGGGAGAACAGAGGCAACAAATTTACAACTTTGTCTTAGAAGCAAACATGGCAATTGCAGGTCTGCCTGGCCCAGCCCATCAGTCAGGGTAGATGAGGACATCTCTCTCTCATTCAGCCCCCTCTCACCCTTTGGCCAGCGAAGCCTCAAAGTCAATTTTCTTGTCTTCTAGGAATCTCTCATCTACAGGCAGGTCACACAATTTGGCCCCAACCATATTAAGGATGAGGCCACCCTTCCAGTTGCCCCACCTGTGGGAGCAGAGGGGGCATGAAGTCTGGCCTAGGTGTTCAGGAAGGGTCAGGAGGACTGCCGGTCTGGGAGGAGGACTGACCGGTACAGCTTCATTCTCTCCTCCAGCTCCTCCTCCCTGTGCTTCTTGAACAGGCCTTGAGGGTCGTCCACCACCGTGCGGCCTGGGAGGGGGCAGGATATTGCAAGTAGGCTTCTCCTGAGAGTCTCTCCCACCCCAGCCTGCCCTCTGGTTGGGCCCTGCAGGGATCACCCTGCCCCCCAGTCCCCTTTTCTCCGCTCCCACCTTCCTCCAGCCCCACACCCGCTCTCGCCAGTGCCCTCAAGCAGGCTCAGGACTCCATCGCCCTCCACCCAGCGATAACAGGGGAAGCTGAACTCATCCCCGCTGCTCCCAGGGGTCTGCACGGAGATCCAGTTGCAAAACCAGGCGTCGTCCTGAAGGAGGCGCCGTTTGCGCAGTTTCACGAAGAGCAGAGGCCCCAGGTACTCTGACACCTCCACTTTGAACTCCTCCTCCTGGAGGCGTCGGATGGCGGCGAGCGAGACCCAGAGGAAGGGTGCCTGGGTCTGGTCCTGGTCTCCCTGGACACCCTTCAGCTAAGGTTCTGGGAAGGAGCCCCAAAGGGATCCAGAAAGAGAGGGC